AAAAAAAATTATAACTAAACACATTTTGAGTCATAGCCAAAACAATGTCACAATCAATATGACAATGTGTATAACCAAGTCATAACAAACATCACACTAATGAGTTATAACTAGCACCACTAAAATTTATTTATATATTTCAAGATATGAAGAATCATTACAATAACAAAAAAAATTAAAAATAGTCTTATTGCTTTATGATTTAACAAATCTAGATTACAACAAAAGAAAAAAATATCAAACTTATAATACAAAATAAAATTTAAACAATTACGGAAAAGTATTAATTAAATAGTACTTTTATTGTATTTTTAAATGGGTCTGGCTTCTCTCCAGTTTGTGATCGAACTGGAGAGTGTTGTTGGGCCCGTGGGAGCCTACCACGGATCCCGTTTGATAATCCGAATCGTTCAATTTGTAAATCTTGTCAAGTACTATATATTTGTAAAAAATCACGTTGATCGGATATCGATAGCTACGTGATCAAATCAATTTTGTATATAAAAAAATGGACGGTGAAAAAATAAGCAGTTAACAGAAATTTTATCCGACGAGATAGTTATCAATATCTGATCAACATGATTTTTTACAGACATATAGTACTCAACGAGTTTTACATATTGAACGGTTTAGATTATCAAAACAAGACCCATGGTGCGGCCTCACGAGCCCAACAACGCCCTCCAGTCCAATTGCAGACGGGAAAAAAGCCAAACCCTTTTTAAATAGAGAACTAATAAGCATTCATAATTTACTATGACTTTTCAATTTAGATTGTGAACTTAGATTAGTTGAATTAAATTCTTATTTTTCAGTTTCCTAAAATAGTTAAGGCTAGGTGAGAATTTTCGATATAACTTAAACCTTACACGAAATTAACAAGTTAGACTAATATGATTTTTTTTTTTTCCATTTAAGTTATGTATTTTTTTGTTACATATTTTAGATTCATTCTATTAATATATATAATTATATGTTATAATTTTTTTCATTTAAGATATGAATTGCTTGTTACATATTTTACAGCCATTCGATTAAAAAATATATAATAATTATAGGGAAATTTATTAGAAAATCATTTTTCAAGTGTTTGTATTTCAATTAGTCCATTCTTTTAATCTAATAAGTTCTATTATTTAGACATTTGATCTACTAAATCCTAATTTTCATATTTAAAATATTTTATGGACATTTTTACCCTTACAAATATTTTTTGAACAATTAACAATTTGGTGATATAAACATTCATATTTTACAATGTGAATATTCACATTGACGTGTGAATGTTCACATTGACAATGTAAATATTCACATTGACATGTTAACGTTCACATTGATGGTATGAACATTCACATCACAAAATATTCACATTGTAAATGTAAATATTATTAGGGGTATTTTGGTAACTATGTCACTCGTAGGACTTATTAGAACATAAGAAAATAATGTGGACTAAATGGAACATAAGTAGGTGAAAAGGCATTTATGAAAAAGTGTCCCATAATTATATGTTATATTTTTTTTTTAAATAAGGAAATATAATTGAGTTGAAATCAAATATTTTATGAAATAATTTTATTTAGTAGAGATTAATTTCATAAAATTTAACTTGTAAAAAAAAAATAATTTCTCCATACACTTAGGTACCGTTTGGTTACGTTTTCAGTTTTCTGTTTATATTTACAAAAATTTTAAAAACTCAAATAAAAACTTGTTTAGTAAAATTTTTGATTTATAAATAAGTGGTCTCAGTTTATAAATTTGGCTAAAAAATGAAAACACAAAAAATGTATTTCCGTTTTGAGTTTTCAATTTTTTTTTTTTACCACCCAACACTAGTCACCACCCGCCAAATTCCGCAAGTCCTACCATTAACTATTAATTGAAGCGCCATGAAAGGTGGATTTGTTTTGTTAAAAATGAAAATGAAATTGGACTTTTGGCTTTGTATTCAAAAGTCAATAATTAAGGTGGCTTGTCAGGAAACATAAAACATAATATAATTTTTTTTTTTACTTTTAAAAAGGACGGAAAAAAAGAAAAAGAAAAAGAAAACTAGTTTAGTGAATGTTTTGATAAGAAAAATAAGGAAACATGCTTGGTGAGTTGACGGAGATGGTGGCAGTGAAAAAATAAAAACTAATTTTGGTGAATGTTATGAAAACAAAAATAAGGAAGGATACTTGGTGAGTTGATGGAGGTACTGGCCAGAGGTGGGCGCCGGAGATCAACCAGTGGTGGTTTTCAACCACTATTAAGTATTCTGAAAATTATCTTGAAAATGAAATGAGTGGAAAAAATTTATTCTTGTTTGAATCTGCACAATAAACTTCATTTTTGGAGTACATAGTGCTTTGTTCATTTTGGTGAAAAAAAGTTTTCCACGATTTCTAGCATTTGGTACAATAGAAAATGAAAGTCTAATGGAAAATATTTTTTGAAGTCAAACAGAAAATGAGCCAATCTTGACAGAAAATATTTTTCACTTTCAAAAAGTAAAGCGTTTGTTTGGACCTAAAAAGACATTAGAGTCTTATAAATACTACCACCATTTTCACCACCACTCTGTTGCCACCACCCTACCAACACCACCACCACCACTTGCCACTACCACCACCACCACCACCACCCACTCGCTACCACCCACCACTCGCCACCACCCACCACCACCAGCTACCCACCAACCACCGTCACCACTTTCCACCACCGTCTTCCGGCGCCACTTGCCACCATTTGCCATTTCTCACTATTTTTTATATTTTTAAATTTTTTAAAACATTTTGTCAATTGCCAAACGCGTTTGTAGTTTATGTTTTTTTAAAAATAAACAAAAATCAGTTTATAAAATTTTTATAAATATAAACTGAAAACGTAAACGTTACCAAACACACCCTTAGTACTTTTAACTAAGAGCGAAAGTTTTAACATGAAACATTAAATAGACACAAACCATAAATGACATGATACCATAAAATAAAAAAATAAATAGATTAAATTAGTATTGGAGTAATTATGACATAAATTTAAAATAAAACCACATGATACTTATTCCTAATTGTGAGCCCTAAATTTTATCAAAATTTGGAGGCCAAGGCAACTATTGACCGGCCCTAAATCGAGCTAATTAAAATTATAAGAACTAAAATGACAAAAAGACTAAAAATACAAAAACTACAAATATAATTTGCCCTAAATCTTTTCTTATATAATTACATCGACTATATATATAGTGATTACCTAAAAAATTGCGTAGACGCTAACTTAATTGTAGCCTACATAACCCAATTTACACTTCATTTATTGGGAAATTCTAATATACACCCCTTTTAAAAGGTTGTATCATATACACCCTTAATTATGTCATTTTCGGTTTTAACTAATTTTTTCTTAAGATATGACATTATTTTTAATTATGTCTCATGTTGGGTTTAGTTATGACATTTTTTTTTTTTTTAGTTATGACTCCTAAAATATAAAATTATATCATTTTTTTTAGTTATAAGATACATTTGGTGCACACCCTTTAAAGAGTATGCTCCATAGTTTTTCCCATATTATTTTATAAAGTTTAATATCTCAAGTTATTATTAGAACAAAATAAATTATAACCCAGTTTACATAAAATTTATAATGTTTAATTAAATCTCTATTTATTCATTTATGATCCGGACAAAATGAATGAACGAGTAAGTTAGTTTACCAAAGTTAAAAAGATATTTTCAGTAAATATTTTAAAATTGAAACCACTCAAATATATCATTTTTAAATTGATTGGCAGAGAATTTGACTTAGTAGTTATGTAGCATTTTACATGGTATAAAATTTCGAGCTCAATTCTTATAGAGAGAAATTTAATACCATTTATGGTAATTGATTTAATTCTTTCTCATTATGGAGTTGTTGAGCTTGGTGGGTTGACCAAAAAAAGAAAGATGAATTTTCTCAACTTTTTGCTCCGTGGGAGTGGGCTCCACCTCAATGATTTATTACAATTTACAAATATTAAAATAATAATATAGAAGCCTACTTTTTAAATTTAATAATTTATTAATAAAATGATTGGTTGATAATTAGAAAATAATTAAGAGAAAGTTTATTTAGATATTTTAATAAAGTGCCACATTACTAAATCTACAAGGTGAATATAATTTTTTAACCTGAATAACAATTCTCATAAATATTTTCGGAATAAACATTTTTTTCGTCAAAAGTGAAAATATTATTACTAAAAATATTAAGATTCCAATTTCAACCAAATATTTTTATCCTCAAAAGCGAAAATATATTTTTACAAAAAAAATATTGGGCTGCAAATTCAATCGGTAGGAAAAGAAAAAAAAATGATGGCTAGTGATAAAATTTTAAAATATCACTAGTTAATGTATTTTTAGAAATAAAATAGTTTGGTGTTGGGTTTATTTTTTGACAAAAAATTGTTCCATAAAGGTAGCAATTTATTATTAAATGTCTAGTTTCATTGCTAAAAATACAACAATGAATTTTTTGGCAATTAAAATATTTTGTTTCTAAATTTTTTTTCTCTAAAATTTGTTGTAGTGATCCAAACCATTCATTTGTTATAGTTGTGATGCAAACCGCATTGTTCATTTGTTGTAGGGATCCGAACTACTTATTTTGTATGACTCTCTTAAAAGATCATTCATACCAAAAATTTACTTATTTAGATCTCGTTTGTCTAAAAAAATTTGATTGACTACATTTAAAAGTTAGACTATTTGTTAATTATTTTTTATACATATATAATCCGATCCAGTGGCACTTAGTGTTCGATCAAGCTAATTTTTTGTTTTTTAAAATAGAATTTTCCATATAAAACAACATGGCCTTATATGATCCTCTCACTTGAATGCAAAGCCCACCATTGTGGTTCAAGATTGTAAAAATACAATTATCACTCAAATAGGGATGTAATAGTAAATAAAATGAAAAGTGGTTCACAAATTAGCAATTAATTAAGCTCTTAAATAAGAAAAGCATACCTTGTCGTTGAAGAAGGGTTGAATGATGGGATCACAATTACTCTCTGAATCTGAAGCAGGCCAGAGACGCTTCAGTTTTGGCATATTCTCCAGACTCAAGGAACTCAATCGTGGCAGCTGAATTGCATTCATAGCTTTGCAGATAACAGTCAAACTTGGCAGGTCTTCAAGAAGCAATTCCTTTAGTTTAGGAAACTCGATTTTATCTGTTGCTATTGCTGCTATTTCATGCTCTCCTCCTTCACTCGAAACAATTTCTTCCATCATAGGACAATTATCTATCATAAGGTACTGCAGTTGCACTAGATCTCTAGCTATGGAAAGTGAGAACATACTTTCTAGCATATCACAACTCCGCACTTCTACAAACGTCAGGTTGCCGAGCCATACAAGTTGGGTGGGACCCTTCCACAAAATTGTCAGTTTAGGACAACCCAGCACTTGTACAGACGTCAATGCACTGAAAGCCCTTTTCGGTAGTCGGCATTCATGACTAGTAATCCCTTTGAAATTATGTAGACCATGAAGATTTAGAAACTCTAACACAGGGAAAGCACTCTGTGGAACCCTATCTGCTGTATTGATGAGGTATTCCAAATCATCCAAGCCACTTACTGTCAACTTCATTAAGCAATCAAAACCATCTTCGTCGACCAAATCACAGAGAATTTTCAAACCTTTCACACTTGAGTTTAAAGTCAGATTTTCAGTGCTCTTCAACAGAAAATTAAGCCTCGTTTCAATAATGTCACTCATGTTTTCAACTGCAAGCGTCAACTGATTTGATAAGGAATAGGGACAAAAGAACACGCTAACACATATATCAAACTTTTTTAACTTCTCAATGACCAAACCTCTCGGCCAGAAGGAAATGTTTATTAGAGCAATATCCAAAGCCACCAAATTGGACAAGGACGCCAGCTCATCGATAATTGCTTTAGCACATTCTTTGCTTTCTTCAACTGGACACCAACGTTGAAAGATATGCCCAACATACAACTCTTCTAGCTTTGATAAGCTTGACAAAACCCCTGGGTAAATCCTTTCCACTACACATCCCAACAAATCAAGTACCTTCAAGTGAGCAAGGTTACCTATTATTTCTTTTGGCAATCCCTTGATATAAGAGCGGCCAAACCTCAAAATTTCCAGATTCTGTAATGCTCCGATAACAGAGACACCATCAGTAAGTCGGCAACGAAAAAGTGACAAGGTTCGGAGGTTGGTCAAGCATCGAAGTGATGTCGTCAATGAGCCGTACATATCGGATAAAGCTAGCACTTTAAGTTCTTTCATACCTTGGTAAAAACTATCTTGGGTCTCTTGTACTTTGACTTCCTCCATTCCTTTGTTGAGATCCTCTAATAAGATTGGTGATAATCCAGCATTGCAATCTAGCTTTAGAAGATGGAGATTTGGAAATTCTAAATTACTAGGAAGCCCATGCATACCATCAACTTTTAATGAAATAATAGCGTTTTTTTCGAGTCGGTCTTTCTTGGGCCATTCTTTCAATACTTCATCACATCTCACGACAATCAAATGCTCCTTCCTAGATGCAATTGATATAGCCACGTCGCGTACGACATCATGCATTTTGATACACTCTTCATTTTCACTTTCCATCAATAGATAGCATTTTTTTAAGTCATCAACTAGGGAATGTACTCTGTTTCTTGCTTGGTGTACACTATCAATGCGCTCAAACAACTCTATCCCAATCGCATATCTAACGAGATCTTCAATTGGAATATCAAAATCTTCCGGATATAAAGAACAGAGGAGAAAGCATTTCTTGACTTCATCACTATCAAGGGAATCATAACTCAACTCCAGAGATTTAAACACTTTTTCATCCACCCCACTGATGTTTTTGACCATAGACTTTCGTAATTGTTCAAGAGCAGAATCCCATGAATACTTGTTTTTGCATCTGAGTGCCCTCCCGACTGTAACAATAGCAATCGGCAAGCCTCCACATTCCTTTGCAACTGCCATCTGCGTCAACTGTAAATTAGTTGGGTGACTTGTACCTTCGTCAGAAATTCCAGCCATCTCTTGGAAGAGATTCCATGCTTCTTCTTCATGTAAGACACCAACTTTAAAATTCTTCTGTGTGTCCATGCCATTGCATACGTCTTCACTTCTTGAAGTCATTACAATTTTGCAACCCTTGTGTTTTTCTTCAAATGGAATTCCTATGTCATTCAATTCTAGTCTCTTCCAAACATCATCCAATATTACAAGTACTCTTCCAACGCTCAATATTTCTGATCGTATCTCCCCTGCTCTGGCAAACAAATTGTTTCCACCAAAATTGTCTAAACCCAATATTTTGGCTATCTCACCTTGAATATTAAGCAAATCTGGGTTTTGGGACACTACTACCATCACGATTTTATCAAACATCTTCTTTTCTTCTGCTTTCTTGGCAACTTCTTTCACCATAGTTGTCTTACCAACGCCTCCCATCCCACATATCCCAATCACATAGATTCTATCATCTGTCAGTGCCTCCATAACTCCATTCATGATCAATCTTCTAGATTCAAACCCCTTAAAACCTTCAGTGAATGCAAATGTTGTCCCCACAGAAGGTGCAACTGTAGGATAGGACACTCTAGAGAAATCTCCTTCTCCACGTAGCTCTTCCACACTTTGAGTTTTCTTTGTAGCTTTTCTGCTCAAGGAGTAGCGTGACTTCAAATTTGGGCACCGCCCATTCAGACACCCTTTGTTTGCGTTCACTTCATCCTCAAGAAATTTCTTAGCCTCTTCGTTGAGTTTATTGACCGTTGTCAACCACCGCTCGACATCTGGTGCAGTAGTTTCTCTCTTTGTCTCTGCTTCTTCAACTGATTTTTGTACTCCAAATCTTTTATCCTCCAGCTTTTGGACCTGCTTCTCCAGATTCTTAATGTTTCTGTCATAGAAAATCAAATAACCAAACTGGCGGCCAACTGGGGCAACCAGATATTCTCCAATCTTCATTACTACAGGAAGAACAAAGTTCATGACCATTTCTCTCGCTTTTTTCTGCTGGGGATAGTGAAACTTAAAATCTAAAAGACTAGAACACAACAAAAAGGGATTTCTACTACAATCAAAATGGAAATGAGGAAACTGAGCTTTGCAAATCAAAACAGAACAAAGAGAATAATACTATTTTGCGGAGGATATGAAGACAGGAAAGAAACACTTAGATGACAATTGACAAAATCAAAAGGGAAATAATTTTTTTTTTTTTTTTTTCACAAGCAGGGTTGAATAAAGAGAATTATATTGTAATATAATGGGAAACCAAGAAAGGGAGCTTTGTACTATAACAGAAATAGAAACCAAAAAAGGTAGCTTTGTGAAATGAAAACAGAACACACAACAGAATATTATTCTGATAATGAGTTCTAATAGAGTTGTAGTGGAGGAGATAACAAAGGTCTTTAAAATCAGAAAGGGATACAGAGTTTTTTTTTTTTTTTTTTTCTTTTTTTCTGGTAAGTAACACTTGAACACAGAATAAAATTGAAGGAAGAAAGTAAAATTATAGCAAATTGAACACAGAATAATATATGATTAATTGAAGGAGGAAATGAAGAAAGAAAACCTTTGAGATTTTGTTCCGTCTCTTACAGACGAAAAATGCACTGCATAATCATTCGCCGGCAGTGAAGAGTAAAGCTTTTCAGGAAGACAACAACGAAATCGAGTAGGAGAGTATCAAAAGCCAAACAATGAACTCTTTAACTGCAGATTACACTCGCCTCTTTTGAGGTTTTCCCTTTCGTGATAATACAGTTAATAAATTTATTAAGAGCAATGCTAGGTATCATGAAAAAACTTTCATGAAAATGATCATGAAAGATTTATGACCTTTGAATTATACTTAAAATAAAATACCACACACTAATCAAGGTAATCCAAAAGTTATAAATTTTCATGATCATTTTCATAAAAAAATTTTCATGATCCCTAGTTTTTCTCATAAATTAATATATAATTATATTGATTTATCTTTCAGTATAATTAAAATTATCAAAATTAATACCAATGATAGTTAAATACTGAAATAAATAATGATAAATAAACATTTTAGTATGAAAGATATTGTAATATTATTTTTTTATTTATATGATAAAAAAGTTATTGATGAAAAATAACTTAAGTGTTACGTGAGTTAAAATTTTATATAAAATTAATTTAATTATATCAAAAACGTAAGATTAACTATTTTTTTTTTAAAATAATGAGAGGTAAGTATAATTTATTTTACATACATAGACCAAAGCGTAAAGTGTATTTTGCCTCAAAACATAAGGGCAATATTCATGATTTACATAATGAGATGTGACTTTTTAAAATTTTTTTTAGAGTTAACTAAAAAGTTAATTTACTAGCTAAAAATTAAGCCTATAAAAAAATTAATATTAAAATAATTAGTTTGTTTTGACATATTATAGTTTGGGCTCAGCTATCTTATTGTTTTGATTCGTGGAGTCTATTAAGGTTCCGTTCAAATAATTTGAATCGTTCTTTTTCTAGATCATAATGTGTAAATTATTCATGAAAAAAATTAAATCAATCCAATAACTATAGTCATGTTAGTTCATTACATTTGTTTCTCAAAAAATGAATGATCAAGTTTTTAAATATTGTTTGTCGTTTATTTTTGTCATGAACTAACTTGATTATAATTATCTAATCAATCTGATTTTTTTTCATGAATAATTGACATATTGTAATTTAAAAACTAAACAGCTCAAACTATTAAGATGGAGCCGTGACAAATCCCCATAGCCCAAACAACGCAATCCAACTGAAGCCTATTGTTTTTTTTTGGGGGGGGTGGTTGTGGGGTTTTGGTTACTTTTCTAATTGCCTTTGTAATGGCTAAAATGAGTTTTTTAATGGGAAATCGATATTTCAAATGAGTTAAAGGGTTTTTTTTTAAAAGAAAAATGAGTTTTTTAGCCAATAAATAATTGTGAGAAAAATCATAAAAATTATGTGTTTATTTTCAAATGTCAGATGAGTAAATTATACATGGACTAAATTAACTTTCACAATTTATTATGATTTGGATTATTTGGTGTAATATTTTTTAATTGTTTATATATATTTATATTGTAAGAGACTATATTAAGCTGTCGGATATAACTTTTACTTATAGTTTATTATTCAAAATTTAGTTCTTATTTTTTAGAATCTAAAAATTAATTGAATTATGAAAGAAAAAATAAAACAAAAAGTACTTGCCATTTAAAGGAAGGTGCGTTTATGCTTCATAGACCCAACGAGAGTTGTAAACGAGTAGAGCTGAACCGAATTTTAATATGTTTAGACTTGATTATTAAAATTTGAATGTATTCGAACCAAATTGGCTTAGGCTTGACTCGAGCCCGAACCTATTCACGAGTCTCAACGAGCTAAAGAAATTAGAAATTCATACTTAAGTATGAGATTAAAGTTACAATTGAGATTTTGGTTATACAATTATACATACAATATATATAAATATATTAAAAAAAGTCAATATATTACAAAATTTCTACTACTACTATTATATAAATATATTATTTATAGTTAACTATTATATACATATAAATAAATTTAGCTATTATTTATATTTATGTTATTTAAATATATAAAATAATGCCCAATTAGTACACATTAATATGTGTTTAGAAGAAAAAAATTGAGTACATACCTAACCTTTGAAATAGTGCACAAAGTGATTATTTCAATACTTAAATTCATAATCTCAAGGTTATTAGACTAAGATTTTATCATTGATCCAATAATCACCACTATTTTTATCCTATTTTTAAATATATTTTTATATTATTTAATGTATAAATAATATATTTATTCTATTATTTAAATAAATATTAAACGAATCAGATAACAAATCAAACTAACGAATCGAGTTTTAGTATGTTTGAACTTGTTTATTAGATTTTTATGAGTTCGAACTTGAGTTCATACGCAATAAACCAAAATTGGGCTTTAGCGGCGGTTTTTTACCGCCGTTAAAGGCTGTAAAACCGCCGTTAAAACCTTTAACGGCGGTTTCGTTACCGCCGTTTATGCGCGTGTCGGAAAAAGTAGAACCGTCGTAAAAATATAAATTACCGTCGTTAAAAGTCGACCAAAAACGGCGGTAATATAGGATCAAAAACGGCGATTTTTTACTGCCGTAAGTAAGTTCAGATTTTTTCAAAAAGTAATTCTCTCTTCTTGAACTCCCCAAGTTTTGAACCTAAGACCTCTCATCCACCCATACCAACCACTCTGCCATAGCCACTCTTCATGAAATATATTCCCTAAATAAATATTTAAACATTACTTTTACTTTATTATAGATGGTTTCGCCGGAGCTCGCCGGAGCTCGCCGAAGTTTCGTCGGAGCTCCGCCGGCAAAGACCGTCGTCATTAACGGCGATAATGATTGGGCATTAGCGGCGGTTTTGTTACCGCCGTTAATAGAGGGTTTCATTACCGTCGTTAAAGACACTTTAGTGGCGGTTTTTTTAACGGCGGTATTAACGACGGTTTTTGTTACCGCCGTTAAAAAAAATTGTCGTTAATGTCCTGTTTTGACGTAGTAAACGAGTCATTCCTAAACAATAATGATAGGGACTTCTACAAAACACAATCTCCACAACTTTCAAAATAATCTGAACCATTCATATTATTATCAGATATAATTCAAAAAAAATTTAAATACACCAGTAAAGATCGTGAAAGTCCTCATTTACAAAGTTTCCAAACATTTTCCATTCCTAAATAAGTTTGAATTTGTTTATGAATTATTCTATTCATTTATAACCTCCATCCCAACCCCAAACAACACCCCATGTGAGGGGAGGGGCCGACTCTGCTTTCGCTTTGCTTTTACTTTTCGGCAATGATACATTTCACTAAACGTGATGTTTTAAAATATCACTAATGAGTTAGTAAATAGTTAAAAAAAAAAAAAACAAGACACAAGCAATGTATCTCATCTACTTCCACATCACTAATAGTACTTTTAAAGCACTATTTTTAATGGTCTCAAGTGTTATTGTTTACTTTTGGACCATGGCTCAATTAAATGAGAAATAACATGTCAGTTGAAAAGACGAAAAAAAATAAAAAAACAAAAGAAAACAGACGACTGACCAGTGCAGTTAGACCGTGGAGATTTTATTTTGATAATAAAAATTATTTAATGTATAAAATTTATCAAATATTTTATTTATAAAAAAAAATTACGTTGATCAGTTATCGATAGTCTCTCGATCAAATCATATTTTTGTCAATAATAAATATAATTTAAAAAATAAATTGTAGACAAAATTTGTTCCAATCGAGAGATTATCGATATCTGATCAATATGTAAAGATGAAATACTCAATTAATTTTACATATTAAACTGTTCGGATTATCGAAATAGAACACAAAATAGACCCCATGAACCCGTCAATATCGTCCAGTCTACAAAGTGAATTAGAGAAGCCTTGCCCAAGAAAAATTTATTGATTAATGATAAAAAACTATATATTTCCATAAAATTATAATTAAATTAACGGGTCAAAATTTTTGGAAATCCAATCCAAACATCTTAAGTCGGGAGATTAAGATGACATTAGGTGTAAATTAACATGATATATTCATTATACAAAATTTCAATACCATTCAATTGTTTGCTTAACTATTCAAAATTTAAATTTGGAAAATTACTAAAGGAAAAAAAAAATTCAATGTTTAACCTTTATAACAAAATAAATCTTAATGTTTTAATTTAATCGTAATCTTTTAATTTATTTTCAATCTAAATCATTACTTATTTTTTGGTTCAAAAGAAAATTTATTATCTATTTTTGTTAAGTAAAATTAATGAAAAAAATTTTAATTATTAAACTCAACGAAAAAAAATATTCTAAACATCTTATGTAAACCTATATTGAGTTTAGAGTAATGCTATTGATTGGACGGACTGAAAAATGGGGGATTAGAATCCATCGGACTTGAGTCCTAAGACTGTGAATTCCCCGGACTATTTGGTCGGATTGGATATGTATCCTGTGTTTGTTTTTTCATGGGATTAGATGTCTGGATAGGACTATTTTCAGTGAATCCAACGTTTGGTTGGACGGACTGGATAGGATAAATGAACAAAAGACTATTTTACCCTTTTTCAATTGTTTACTAAGTAATAGCAATATTAAACATATCTTTAATATTTTAATTATTTTTAGTAAACATTAAATATACTAATTGTTAAATTTTGTTTAAAGATATTTAAACATACTAATATTGATAAAAAAATTTGACTGGTATAGATTATTTTTATTTAAACAAATAAAAATTTATTGTTGAAATTAAACATACTAATGGTTAAATGTTTAAATTTTTATTTAAACAATTAACATTGAAATTATTTTGATGTACAGATTATGTTTAAACAATTAACAAATGTTGATGTAATTAACAATTAACAAATGTAGATGTAATCAAATGTTAACG